GGCCTTCTCTGTGGCTGCTCCCAGACTTTGGAACTCTCTCCCACTGGAAGGCAGGCTGACCCTATCTTGGCTCTTCTTCCACAAGAAGACTTCTCTTCATGCAGGGTTTTTCTTTAATGATGAACTGTCTAGGAGACACTAAATTGGATGGTTTATATTCTGTTGCTTCTAAATATTTTTTTTTGGTAAGGCCTTTACCTAATATTTTTAAGATCATGTTATTAATTCTTCTTTTCTATTTAAATAATGTATTGTTTTAGCTTTTAATCTTTTTTTAATAATGTAAGTTGCCTTATGTCCTTTTTTGGAAGCAAAGTGGCATAAAAACATTTTAAATAAATAATGAACAAATTGCCGCTGTGTAACTCATAGAAACAGGACTTCAATGATGTGGAAATTATTATTAATATTATTGTTTTTATTTATTATTGATTTCTTAGTTGTTGATATTCTGCATTCTCTTTGGTGAGCTCACGACAGACTCTCTTGTCACTTTATCCTCAAAATAACCAGCCTGAGATTATAGCCAAGAATTTCAAATTTTCAATGCTTAATAGACTTTCTATTTTGTTATTATTATAATATATATATATATACAGTGGTGCCTCGCTTGATGACGTTAATTCGTTCCAGCGAAATCGCTGTAGAGCGAAAACGTCGTAAAGCAAAATAAAAAAGACCATTGAAATGCATTGAAAACCGTTCAATGCATCCCAGTGGGCTGAAAACTCACCGTCCAGTGAAGATCCTCCATAGGGGCGGCCATTTTTCATATCTGTGCAGAGAGGAATCCGTCCCTAAGCACAGCGGGGGGCCATTTTCTTCAGCTGGTGGCCATTTTGAAACCCGACAATCAGCTGTTTTTGATTGTCGCAAAGTGAAAATCAGTTCCCGAAGTAGGGAACCGATCATCACAAAACGGAAAAACCCAATTCAAACCATTATTTTGCGATCGCAAAAGCGATCGCAAAAACCTCACCATCAAGCGGATTTGTCATTAAACGGGGTAATCGTAAAGCGGGGCACGTCTGTGTATGATGACAAACAATATAAGGAAAACATAACTGACAAATCCTATAAATCCATTAAAAATGAAAAGACTGCACACAATTATATCTACAACTTTGTGTTCCCCACACCCCTTGGAATTATTTACCTTATTCTCGTCTCTATTTACGGTATATCATTATTTACTTGCTTATGTTGACAGTTATCGTACTTTCTTATTTCTAGTGAACTTTCTGCCCGGTGACCTTCTAAAGCTCTGTGGTTCTGGAAGATACTCTGGCACCTTACTTTCTCACTGCCCTTCTGATAATTGTTGTTTATTTATCTTTCCTCCAGAGAGAAGCCCTCCTAGCTAGTTGGGAGCATCCCGTTTTTGCGATCCTGTGGGCTGGTTTGTCCTGTGGTGTTGCTGGGCGGCAGTCGGTCGCCTCGGTGTCTCGTCTTCTCCTCCTCCTCCAAATTCTAATTGCAGAAGAAGAATGAGGGCAGAGCAAGGCGATCCACCCTCGGCAGGTTTACAGTTGGAGGGTGCACTGGAACAAGAAGGAAAAACAGAAGAGGAAAAGGATAGAAGACTTAAAGGGGTCGCAAAGGACTCTCCTGTCCTCTGGCCTCAGAGGAGTAGAGGATGCTGGGAGGGAAAGGATGATGCTGTCTTAGTTGAGGATGATTCCGCCCCATTAGCTGGACCACAGGATCAGATGTCTAATCCAGATCAGTGCAAGGATCTGTTTTTATCCAAAGAAATGCAGAACCTGGATAGAGGAGGTCGCCTGCACCATGACACACCAGCAAAGGGTCTGGCCAAAGATGTCATCCTGAGGAACTTCAACAAGGATGAAGTGAGCCTATAATAATTTCTTAATATTTTTGGTTACTTGCAGGAAGGGAACAGTTTTCCAAGTGAGTTTCATGTTGGAGTTACTTGCCTAGGGAGATTGAGAAGGGTGGGCTTCAAGGGGGATAAAAAAAGCAATGATTTTTTTAAAAAAAATCAAATTAAATAAAAAATGATTTAAAAAAAATTTAAACCATCAAAAAATCCAATTAAAAAAATCATGATTTAAATTGTGGTTTAATTTAGTTTGATTTCAGTCAGATCCACCCAGGTGGGCTCTCAAAGTGTGCCTACGCTTTACACAGATCCAGCAGTTTGATTCCAGTTTAATTGTCACAACTTTCATCCCACAGAATTATGGGAGTGATTGTTTGGGAAGATGATTAGATTCCTCTGCTGCAGAGAGCTCTGGTGTTCGAATTCTTGAACTACAGCCAAGAATTCGAAATATCTCCCCAAATTGCCAAAACCAAAGTTCTGTAGGATGGAACCATGTCAGTTAAAAACAATGTCAAATGACTGTAACATTCCACAGCTAAGGTGATGATGGAACACCCTGGTTTGGGACAGTTAGGCATGGAATTCTGGATTTCGGGGGGACTACAGATGCCATCAGTCTACGTTCTGGAAGCTCTGCCTGAACAGCTCCACATCTAAATAAATTTATTTATTTATTTTATTTTATTTTACAGCTTAACAGAGATAGAAATCAAAAAAGATACAGTATAGAGAGAAAATCATCAGGAGTTTTCTGTTGGGAAGGCCTGCTTATACATCAGTGTTTTTAGTTGTTTCTTAAGCATGCCCAGCGAGGCAGCCGCGCGAATCTCAGGAGGTAAGTTATTCCAGAGGCGAGGAGCCACCACCGAGAAGGCCCGATTTCTGGTCTTTTCCTTCCGGGCCTCTCTCAGCGTTAGGCTCCTCAGCCTCACCTCCTGACTCGCACAAGTGACACGGGTAGTTCTTGGTGGGAGAAGGCGTTCCATCAAGTATCGAGGTCCTAAATGTGGCTCACCTGGAGAAAAGACCCTATCTGGGAGGGCTTCGGGGCCTAGCTTCCTGTGAAGAAAGGAAGCTCCCAGCCAGGTGCTCCAACTCACTGAACTATACCACCTCACCCTCATTCAGCTAGAATGGATTCATCCGTTTGATTCTCCTCCGTGTCTCCTGTTGGTAGTAGAGCCAGCCTGGGTGGCTTTGGGCAAGCTGCACAGTCCCACAGCGCCCCTAGAGGAAGGGAAGGGTACACCCATCCCTGTGTATTCTCTACCTGGAAAACTCTGAGAAGGGTTGCCCGAAGTCAAAATTGACTTAATGAGACATGTTTTTTATATGTTAAGGCTAATCCATAGATACACACTCCATGGCCCTTTATATTCATGCCATGTTTCGCGTGTCTTAGTCCCTGGTCCTGGAGTTACGATGGAGACAGACGGATCTATCCGAACACATTCTCTTTCCTTATTGCAGTTCAGTCACATTTATATCTTACGTGCCCTGCAATTAGGTGACTGTGGTCCATGATGTTTTCTTGGCTTTAAGGCAGAGATTCCCAACCTTTGGGTCCCCAGATGTTCTTGGACTCAAACTCCCAGAAATCCTGGCCAGCACAGCGAGTGGTGAAGGCTTCTGGGAGTTGGAGTTCAAGAACCTCTGGCGACCCCCAGGCTGGGAACCCTTGTTCTACGAGCACCACAGCCTGGATCTCCCTAATCCTGGCCAGACCTTCTAACCACTACTCTACAAACTTGAGAGGAGAAAAATACGTATTTCCGCTTTTTCTCCCTTTCAGGAGCCTGTGACTTTTGAGGAAGTGGCCGTGCGTTTCTCTGAAGGCGAGTGGGGGCTGCTGGATCCTGGCCAGAGAGCTCTGTACCGAGACGTCATGGTGGAGAACTACGGGAACGTCGCTTCCCTGGGTAAAGACTATGGATCCTTTTGCTGGGTTGGCAGATGGAGCTCTGTTTGGAGAAAGAGGTGACGGCGTCGGCAAATGTCTTCGGATACAGGCCAGGTCGAGGGCTGCTGGCGCGCTTCTGCCGCCTGAGCGAGCTGCATTAATCCACTTAACAATCAAGACGTCCAGAGAACCTTAAGCAGAGGTCCCCAACCCCTGGTCTGCAACCCGGTCCCGAACCGTGGGCTGAGCAAGACTGGGCCATGGAGACAGACCTTCCCCACCCACATTCCCCCCAGCCCCTTTGTGCATGCACGTGCCCACCTGCACCTGCCTAGGCGTGCTCACCTTCCCCTTAGCGCATGCGCACGAGTGCCCCTGAGCACCAATCACCCTTTGCACATGCACACAAGTGTGCCCACCCGCACAAACACCCTCCCGCTGCTTTGTGCATCAGCACAAACACCCTCCCGCTGCTTTGCACATGTGCATGAGCACGCACGCTTGCTCATTCACACATGCACACGAGCATGGGGATGTGTGCCCTGCCTTCCCCAACCGATCCACGGGGTTAAGAAGCTTGGGGATCGCTGCCTTCAAGGGTAAAAGTGACCCACCCTCATTGTCTAGATCGGTGGTTTCCAATCTGGGGTCCCCAGATATTCTTAGACTACAACTCCCAGAAGCCTTCAGCACTAGCTGTGCTGGCCAGGATTTCTGGGAGTTGCAGACCAAAAGCATCTGGGGACCCAAGGTTGAGAAGCACTGGTCTAGTTTTTCAGTCGAGCCTTGATTATTTTTATGAGGTAGATCATTCGACCTTTCTAAAGAAATGTATGCCTGTTCCTCTCCCTACTCTGCCCTGCTGGCTTTCTCCTCGTGGTCACTCAGCATTCTGTGCCACCAAGCCTTGTTGAGGTTGTTTTCAGTGATCTTCTCCCCCTCTTTTGAGGCATTATTGTTCCTAAATATGGTTTGAACATATGCAAGATTCAGGGTTAACACAAGTCTCTTAATCCTCAGCATCTCTTTTGTTCTTTTGATACTCCAGCCTCTAAACGAGAAGACGAAATCCATGAATCGGTTTAGTTAGAAGAGCCAAATGATACTCACCTTTTGTGAGATTTTGTTTGTTTTTATACCTTCTTTAGAAGGGGCGCCAGTTCTGAAACCTGATCTCATCTCCTGGTTGGAAGAAAAGGACGAGAGGTTTGATGAAGACTCAGAGGATGACAGAGAAAGAGGTAAGCAGGTAGTGCCGGATGTGTGTGTGGTAGGATCATAAGTGGCTTTTTAACTTATGATTTTACTATAGTTTGCTTGTGGTTTATTGTTTTTAT